TTGCCCGGCACTGGAGAAGAGGGAGAGGTGACCAGACTCACCTGCCCCAGGTTACCCAGAGACGAGGGTACGTCGCACTGGAAATGGGCCACACACCTCCTATCCCAGGGCCAAGAGCGTCAAAGGATTTTCTGGTTCGGCTGCTCATTGTGAGTGTCATAAGCTCGCTGGTCGCCAGTTTCCTCATCTGTGAAATCTGTGATAACACCTGGGAGGATTGAAATTGCTCAATGAAGTCCCCAAGCCCAGCCGGAGTGGCTTAGTAGTTGACCTATGAACCAGGAGGTCATGATCGATTCCCAGTCAGGGCACATGCCTGGGTTGCGGGCTTGATCCCCAGTAGTGGGCGTGCAGGAGGCAGCCGGTCAACGATTCGCTCTCATCGTTGATGTTTCTCTCTCTCTCTCTCCCTTCCTCTCTGAAATCAATAAAAATACTTTTTAAAAATAAATAATAAATATGAGGCCTAGAAAGCACTGGATGAATGGGCTGGTTCCCATCCCACAGCCACATCAGGCTGCCCTGGGTCTCCGCCCACATCAGGCTGGCCTGGGTCTCCGCCCGCCTCCCAGTGGCGTCCCCAGCACAGCCTGCTCTCCACTTTGCATTTTCTCCTAAGAAACCCGCCCCAGGGGCTTCTGGCCACAGGGTCGGCCATTTAACCAGGTCAGACTCAACTAACTTGCAACCCAGTTAAACCATCTCAAGGCAAGTGAACTGCCTCCTGGAACCCGAGGGAAAAACTGAACAGCAAATCGCTGGGAAGAGCAGACTCCGGATATGGGCTCTTTGGGGAACCCTGAACAGCCTCTGTCTCCTCCCCTCTCCCCCCTCCCTAGGCCTGCTTGGTTCAGGACACGCACCCGAACTCCCTCCCTCCAGCCCAGACCTCACTGCCATTCCTAGAGCACGCCACCTCAGGGCCTTTGCACTTGCTGTGCCCTCGGCTTGCGGTTCACTGACTCCCTCCTTCAAGTCTCTCCGCTCAGCTGTCACTCAATGGCCCCTCCCTTGACCGACTGATTGAATATTGCAGCCCCCCATCCCACAGGCTCTAGCCCCCTTGCTTGATCTTTTCCTTTTTATCTTAGTTCAGAACAAAAAAAAGGATGAAACGTAGTCCTTGGTTCATAACCCACTCCCTTCAGCTTTTAATGATTAATTTTAATAATAAACCCCGTGAAACCACCCCCCCAGCCCCCGCAAACGGAAACCAGAATCTTGGTGATAACCTACATCTAACCATGTGGTTCCCCCACCCCAGCACCACGTCACCCCGACACCGTCATCCTCATCTCGGATCCCGTGTTCATACCTTTCAAAGTTTATCATTACACATGCGTGTGTATAATTAGTTGCCTTTAGCTTTATAGACAGGGTGTCCTGTTTATGTAAGGGGCCGTTTCCACTGGCTGTCCTGAGTTCCGTCCGAATCGCGATGGGTGGCACTCGCTCCGTCATTCTGAAGGCCGTGTAGTGTTTCATCGTGGGGATTCATTCGTCTCTTCTCCCACAGCTGGGCCTTGGGTTTGCGTCGCGATTTGGGGCACCGTGAATAGAGCCCCTATAAATATTCTCCCATGTGGCTGTTGCTGGAGATGGGCAGGCATTTCTCCAGGGTCCACACTTTAGGTAGAAGCGCTGGGTCAGGGGCCTGCACACGATCGGCTTTAGGAGATAAAGCCAGACTGTATTCCCACCGGGAGGCGCCAATTTACGTCCCCACCAGCAATGTGTAAGATGCCCATTTCCCCCAGGGCACTCACACTTTATGATATATTATGTATTTTACTTAGGAACTTGTTCGTTTATTCTCTATCCCTCCCTCCCCCCCCCCCCACACACACTCTAAAATATCAGCACCAGGAGGGCAGACATTTTGGACTCTTGTTCACTACGCTATCCCCCACGCCCAGATTGGTGACTGGCACATAGTAGTTGCTCAATAAATATCTCTGGTTGTATAAACAAGGTGATGGCCCAATACAAGCCTGAGAGCTCATATTTGTACTGTTGGCCCAAGGACCAGGAGATGGGCTAATTGAACCCTCTCTCCGTTTCAATCCTCCCCGCGCCCCCAATCCAGGAAAGGACCATTGGCCAAAAGCTACTGAAGCCTAGACTCCCAGGCCAACTGAACCAGCGTTTCTGAAGGTGGGGCTGCCCCTTCAGTCATTCCCCAGGGCTCTTAGGATAAAACTCCCCAACCCATGCTAGCGTGTCTGGGCCCCACGTGGTGGCCCTGCCCACTTCGTCTTGCTCCACACTCACCCCTGCTCCATCGCTGGCCTCCTCTCTGTTGCTCTAACACACCAAGCTCTCTCCCACCCCGGGCCTTGGCGCACCCCTGTCCCCGCTGGTCTTCCTCTGCTTCGCCTATTAAGACTATGCGTCTGCGGAGTCGCTGAAACGTCACCTCCTCTGAGAGGCCCTTCCTGGTTCCTGAGACCCAGTAAGATCCCGGTTAGAGACCCTCAGGAAATCTATGGCTCTGGCAAAATTCTGTAAGCACACTTTGTGCGATTCTTTGGTTTGCCTCTCTCTCTCCCACTAGACTACGCTGGTTTGGTTTTCTCTATGTCTCAGCACATAGCCCAGTGCCTGCCACGTAGACAGAATCCAGTATTTGGTGACGGAGGGATGGCTCAGTAGGAGGAAAGGAGGGAGGGGAGGAGGGTACACTCACAGATGAATGTTTAGATGAGTGAGTGAATAGAGGGATGGATAGATAATGAATAAGAGAGAGAGAAAAAAAGTTAGGTCATCTCTCGCTGGCATCTTTCCATGCCGCCATGATGGTGCCCTGAGCGGCCTGGCCGGCGCTCTCAAGAACATCCACAATGCCGAGAAGAGAGGCATCTCCAGCTTCCTTTGGGTCAAGTTCAAAGCCATCATCTGGTTTCTCCCTGTGGTGACGAAGCCTGATTCCAGGGGCAAACTGAAATCATTGATGATCAGAGTGCGAACATCACTGTGACCGTCACTCACGTGCCGCTGAGGTCAGGGTGACCCGCCCCAGATTGGATGTGGAGCTCGAACATCTAGGAAAGCGGCCGGATCACCTTCTCTCTCACCAGTTTGATTTCGTCGTACTGATGACCTCAGCTAATAGCATGGCTGCGAGGAAGCAAGACGAGAACACGCAGAAGAGAAAACCCCGGGGTTCTTTTTCTAGGGATTTAATACAGACACTTTTTTTTTAAGTTCATGATTGAGGGTTTGTCCTATTGGCTTGTAAGTGCCCGGCACATGATAGGTACTCAACACCTGATAACCGTCATGTACAGAGCACCAGCCACATCGTACACGACGGATAAGACACAGTCCCTGGCCTCCTGTGTGTCTCCTCTAGCAGGGGCGGCACTGAAGTGGCTAAAGGTGATACAGTGTGTCCCATCAAGGTATGGGGAAAGGAGGAGAAAGGCAAATGGAATGAGTTCAGGGAAGGCTTCCTGGAGGAGGTGACATGGACTTAACCCTTAAATGGCATTATACAGTCTGGTGTCTCGGGTTCTTCTTTGTAACTTCCTGGTAAATTTCCATGTGACCCTGAGCCAGGCTTTTCCCCACCCTGGGATCCCCAGGTCCCCTTCTCTAACATAAGGTTGTTGAGCATCACAACCTCCTTTAAGAAGAATCTCTGAAAGACAGAGCCCTTATTCCCAGAAAAACGCAGACATGTCTGTGTGTAAGGGGCAGGGAGGCCTTCACGGACCCCCCCCCCCCCCCGAAGCCATCGGTGGAGCCTAGGCTAAGATCCCAGAGCTCAGGGATCCTGGGGACCCACAGGCACCTCACCCTTATCCCTGCAGCGCTGGCCCTGTCCTCAGTCAGAAGCCCTCTCTCTAGACTGCGCAGGCCCAAGCCGCAGAATCAGTGACCAACCTGGAAAAGCCCATCAGGCCTGGGGCTGCGGAGAGAGCAGGGGCCTGGGGAGGGGAGGGCACTCCGGCTGGCTGGGGAACCGGAGTTCAGGTTCTGGGAAAGCGCCCCTGAGCAGCCTGCCCATGACCTCCACTAGTTTATCACCATCTGCCCTGGGGAGGAAGGGAGCGTGGGCCGCCCTGGGCAGGCTCCCAGACAGGACACTGACCCCCATCTGCTGCCCAGACTGGAGTTCCCGGATGCATCCTTCATCTTCCCTAATCTAAACACCCGAGGCCCCGGGTGGTCCACCCCTCCCAGCTGATGTGTGTCCTCAGCTGCATCCAGCTTGCCAGCGGAGGGAGAGCTGGCCATCCCATCAACACGTGAGCCGCCGGCCATCCCATCAACACATGAGCCGCCGCCATCACCTGCATCCCTTTCCAGCCAGCCAGCCCTCACCCATCATTTATTGAGCACCTATTGTTTGCAAGCATCTGTGAATGAGATGAGGAGGGCTTGCACTTGCCTTCTCAGAAAGTCTCTGCCTCCTGGCCCAGGTCTCCCGCCACACCCCCAGCAGGATGCTGCAGCCATCCCACTCACCTGGAGCAGGTGTGGGCTTCCGGGAATTGAGCTCTGGGCTGGCTAATTGGGTTCTGGGAGAATCTGCTCTGGGTTGGTGTTTGGGCGCTGCTCTTCGCTGCTGTGTGATCCTGGGCCTGTTTCTTGCCCTCTCTGGGCCTCACTTCAGATTCCATGATTCCATCCGCTCTGAAATGGGCCCCACCTCACTCCCCGCCCCCAGAATGGTTGGAGAATGGTTTTAAGATCTTTCTTTAGACCATCTCTGGGTCTTATTAATTCCGTCAAACACTTATTGAGCACCTAGTATATGCCAGGCCTTGGACTGGGCACCGGGAATGTAAAGATGACCAAGCTTCCAGCCGGCGACCCACAGGCACCTCACCCCATGCCTGGCGCCCTGCTTGGCGTCCGGAGACCTCCCGGTCCCAGGCGGGCCTAGCGAGGATTTGGGGCGCCCCAGGGACTCGTGTGAGCGCTCTCGCCGCGATCTGTCTCCTCCCCTTCCTCCTCCGCCCTCTCCTCCTCCCCTCCCCTCCCCTGAGCGCGCCGCGGCCGCCTCCCACCCGCGGGATCCCGGCGGTCGGCAGCCAGCTCACGCGTCCGTCCGTCGGCGGCGTAGTCTGTCCGCGCGTGGCAAGCCCGGCGACCCGGCGCGGGCGGCCGCGGGAGGAGAGGGCGCGGAGGCGGGACCGCGGCTCCCTCCCGCCCGGGAGGCGACGGTGCCGAAGCGCGATCGGGAGGCAGAGGAGAGGCAGAGGCGAGGCGGTGAGAGCGCGGAGCCGAGGGACCCCACCCCTGGCTCCTGCGGGCCCACGCGCCTTTGGGAGGCTGGGCTCGGGGAGGGGCGCTCACCCCAGGGCGGGAGCCGGGACCATCCAGCTCCGGCTGCGCCGCTCCCAGGACGCGACCCCCGAGGGGCCTGGGCCGCGCCTGCAGCGCCGCGCATCCCCGCGCAGCCCCGCGCACCCCGCATCCCTGGCTGCGGGAGGAGCGCGCTCGGGAAGCTGAGGAGGGGGCTTCGCCGGCGGGGGTCTCCGAGAATCCGCCCCGGGCTCAGCCCTGCCCGCGGGCCTGCCCCTGGCGACCGCGGCGGGACCCCCCTCCACCCCCTTGCTGCCCACCCCCATCGGTTCCCCATTGTTCTCCGGCGATCGCTCTCCGGGGAGGGGAGAGGGGGTGCCGCGCTCTGTTCTTAAAGGGCCCTCTCTCCTCCTTGTCTCCCGGCAGGTCGCGAGCACGAGTGGGGTGGGGCGTGCCCGCGGGCCCCCGCCCCCTGGGCCCTCCGCGCAGCTCGGGAGCCGCAGCCGGGAGGCCGGCTGGGGACACGCCGTCTCCCTCCCCCGTGCGTTCTTCGGCCCCCCGGGCCTTCCAGGACGCGGGGAGCAGGGCCCCGGGGACAGGGACGCCCCTGCAGCAGGAGCCGTCGGTGGGGCGGCCCAGAGGAGGCCAGCAGCCCCGCCGGGCCAGGCACAGGGCCTGGGACGCAGTTGCGAGCGCAGAGGGCTGGCTGGGCGCCGCGGGAGCAGCAGGCGGGGCGCCTCGGGGGACAGGCCCTGCGCTGCCTGGGAAGAAGGACAGACCAGCCGGCGAGAGACTGGACCGAGAGCAGGGGCGGCTGCCTCACTCCCTGCGCTGGGCCGAGGGATCCAAGGAATTGAGAGCAACAAAGACACTTGCTGTCCGAGCAGCACCAGCACCGGCACCTGAGACAGCGCCAGGAGCCTGGGACCCTCCCACACTCATGTAACTGAGGCCCCTGGGCCTCCTGGAGGCCAGGCAGCGAGGACGGAGGCCACACAGGCCTCGCTGCTTCCCTGGGGAGAGGGGACGTCCCCCGCCTGCTCCCCGGCCCAGGCCCAGGCGCTGGGCCAGTCACCGCGGGGTCCTGGCCCCGGAGGCGGCAGCGGCCATGTCCCGGCCAGGCCAGGGCGTCATGATGCAGGTGAACGGGCTGGGCTTCCCGCCGCAGAACGTGGCCCGCGTGGTGGTGTGGGAGTGGCTGAATGAGCACAACCGCTGGCGGCCCTACTCGGCCACCGTGTGCCACCACATCGAGAACGTGCTCAAGGAGGACGCCCGCGGCTCCGTGGTCCTGGGGCAGGTGGATGCCCAGCTGGTGCCCTACATCATCGACCTGCAGTCCATGCACCAGTTTCGCCAGGACACAGGTGAGCGGACTGGCCCCCCACCCCACCCCATCCCCACCCCATCCCACCCCGCCCCACCCCACCCGCGGGCCAGGCTGAGACACAAACGCCACCAGCATCACTCCCTCACACCACCTCTAAGGTGGGAGCCTGGGGCTTCAGGAAGGCCAGCCTGCTGATCCCACCTCCCCTCTCTTCCCCCCCAAAAAGGGACAGCCTGGCCTCGTCCAGTTTAAGAGTTCAGTCCCAATCCAGCCTCTTAGTTGAGAGCCTTCGGCCAGTTACGTCATCCCCTCTCTGGGGCTGTTTCCTCATCTGTAAAATGGATTCACAGCTCTCACCGCCGTGTGAGGATTGAACAAAGCTGGGCTCACTGAGCACAGAGCGCAGGACACTAGCACTCAGTTACCGCAGTGAAAGGACTTCCCATGCACTCCCTCACTTGATTTTTTCCCATCACGGGCAGTTACGTCTTATGACTGTGTTAGTATTAGCAGTCATCCCATTTTACAGAGTGAGCAACTGAGACCCACAGCAGCTAAGTGACTTAAAGTCAGCGCTGGGATTCAAGCCCAGGCCATTGACTTCCACAGCCAACGCTCTGCACTGGTACCTCTACCGGCTCCCCGTGGTGGTGGTGGTGTCGGATGGCATGATGCTGGTGGCGTTGATGGGGGGCGGGGCGGGAATGACGGAGGAGATAGAGTTGGTGGTGGGAGCTGTGACTGTGTTGCTGACGGCTGTGTTGGTGGTTGTCTTGGGGTTGATGAGATGGCGCGGTGGCGATGGAGAGAATGAGGCTGGTGGCAGTCTTGGTGGTGGTGTGATGGGTGACAATAGTGGTTAAAATGGGGAGGTCCAGTCCCAGAGACGTGCCGTCACCGCGGAGATCTCCCCAAGTCGTTGCCTGGTGGTCCCTGTGACAAGCTGGTGGGCAGTGGCGGGGGGGGGGGGGGGCGCCTCATGGAGGCGGCCAAAGAATCCTTGTCCTGTTCAATCCCAAGGGCCAGCTGGTGGGGGCTTGGGGGCCGACCTGGGAGTCCCTGGATAGCAGGACCACATGGAGACAGTAGGACACGTCCCTTCTCCCACGGACCCAGGTGCCTGTTTAAATTTACATGAATTAAAGTTAAACACAGTTTACAATTCAGTTCCTCCGTCCTGCTAGCCCATTGCCAGTGCTCAGGAGCCACCCATGGCTGACTCATGGGACAGATAGATCCAGAAGGGGGCCGTCATCGCGAGGTGCTGCGGGTCGCTCTGCCCCAGAACACGGCGTGGTGCCTGCCGCATGGTCACCGGGTGTGGGAACGCAGGCAGACCCGTAGCAAATGGTTTACTGACGTTTCTTCTCAGAACATCTATGTTCCCATAACTCCAGGCTTTGACTGCGGTCACTGGTGTGCCAGGCTTTCATTCACCCACCACATGATCGTTTATTCATTTCCTGCTGCGTGGCCAACCCTGTGCTAAGCACGAGGCCCCTGCAAGGAGCCGGCCCTGAGCAGAGGGTGGCCACTGGGGGACCCCGGCGTAGCCAGTGTGGGCGGAGAGCAAACACACACGGAATCTCACAGGTCATCAGCTGCCGGGCTGCGGACATGAGATAAACCTGGCCTAGGGGTGGTCACGGAAGGCTCGCTGAGGAAGGGATGTCAGAACAGGAGTTTGAGGAGTAAGCGAAGGGCGCCAGTGTTCGGGGCGGGGGAACTGTGCAAAGGCCCTGTGGCAGGAAGGAGAGGACGTTCGAATCCGTTGCGTTTGGTGCCGTCATTGTGAGGAAGGCCACACAAGAGGAGGTGGGAGCCCGGCCTGGACGGCCACGAAAGGACTTTAAATGTTTCGAACAAGTCACCATCGTGTCCTCGCGCCCATTTTCCAGAGGCCGGTGCCCCTGCCGCCTGCTCTGGTTTCTCCCGGACGCTGAGGTCGGCCGCAGGAGGCGGCTTTTCTCGCAGCTTGGAGTTTGGTGTTTTCTGCAGATTCGGAGCGGGTGCTGGGTGGCAATGTTCCAGGGTCTGGTTTGGGGAGTTGGGTTCCTTAGAACAGGGGTAGGCCCCCCAAGGCTGCCTCGCTGGCCCATTTGTCTTTGATTCCCCCCTCCCCCCGTGTTGGGGCCCTTTTCTCTTCACAGCACCCCCACTTGGGTTCCTCACTCCTCCATCCCCCCTTCAGCAGGCCCTTCCTCTCAGCCGCACCTCTGCCACAGTGCAGCCTCTCTGGGTCCCCCGAGGTTCAGCTTCCTCACTTCCCCACACCCCCTCCCGGAACTGCTCACTCCACACCTGCCTGTTTGCCGGAAAAGGGAAAAAAGCCCTCATCCTCCGTGGGAGGGAGGAAGACTGGGAACCTATGGGGCCAGTGGGGACCTAGAAAGCCTGGAAAACCGCTAGAGGGAGGGGCCGATGCCTCCCACCGGACATGTCATAGTGCGCCCACTTCTCCCAGGACATCTTGTCCTCATCGTTAATGGTCCAGGGAAGGCCCTCAGGCAGGTGTCCTCACCTCTCCAGGCCTCAGTTTCCACATCTGTGAAATGGACATTTCACATTTGCGAGGAAGGTTGTTGGGCTGATGGAAAGAACCAGGCCTGTTATTTTATCCCACAAACCTTGACTATGTGCCTAACCTGTGCTGAATATTATGGATGCACAAGACGAGTGGCAGATCCTAAATCTTAAAAAGATTCTTCTCTTCTCTTCTCTTCTCTTCCCTCTCTCTCTCTCTCTCTTTCTCTCCGCCTCCCTCCCCCCACACAAAACAATATAAAGTTGTAAAACCCAAAGCTTGCGTATATGTGTTGAAGTAGACACAGCTTCTATCTAGATCGTGTCATTATAAAATTCTTGATACGTCCATTGAGGCTGAACTTGAACTTGGGGGATACAGCAGCATGCCCAGCTTTGCTAGTGCCCTAACATTGGAGCCAGCCAGGGTCAGATAGGACATATTTTAGCCTGTGTGGGCCCCACAGTCTCTGTTGACACAGCTCGCCGCCACCGCGGTAGCGTAGGAGCAGCCATGGACGGTGTGTAGATGAATGAATGCGGCCGTGTTCTCACTCTCAGCTCGTGAGCTGCGCAGAAGCAGGCGGAAGGCAGTGGCCTGAGCTGCCGTGTGCCAACCCCTGCCCATCGTGTTCTTATCCTGCATGTGGGGCAAGCCAGTGCTGGTGCCACGCACGCCCGGCGCGGCGTATGCTGAGATGCCTGCCTGTGGTGTGTGCCGGGGTCGGCGTCCATGCGCGTGCAGGCACACACACGGCCCCGGCCCACATGCACGCGGCCCGTAGAGGAAAGCCAGGGGACAGGCTTGGACCGCAGGCCAGGGCTGCTGCTTGCTCAGCCGGCGCCCCCTCACCTCTCCCGCATGGGCTGCTGCTTGGTGAGGTTCCCTTTGAAGCCTGGCAGGTCCATGTGGAGGGGAATGCTGTGACCCTGGGCCACATGACCCCCCGTGAGGCCACAGCTTCCCTGAGGGTCACTTGCCAGCCCCTCTCCCAGAGCCTGGCTTTCCGTGCAGCCCCCACAGCTGGACAGAGACGTGACTTAAGCCACTTTTCTAGGCAATTTCCAGATTCCTCCCTGGACTCCCGGGGCTGGGGGCAGGGCGGAGGGGCACCTTTCTGACCGCCAGTGTCTCCCATCCTCCTCTCCCTCTGCGGCTGGAGGGGACGTCTGGCAGCCTCTGCCCGTTCTGTAGCTGGGACAGCTGAGGCTGGGGGAGGCCGGGCTGGGGACTGTCCATACCTGCTGTCCCCAAGGCTCAAAACAGGACCGAACCTGCACCCCCAAGCTGCCAGGGGAGCAACAGGCGGCCCTGCTTCAGCATCTCCCGAGCCGACACCATCCCTTGGAGGGTGGCCTGGGCCCACTCAGGCCTGGTCCCTGCCTTTATGGGCACATCTGTTGGAAGACACGCTCAGGCTGTTGGAGACTTGGGGAGGGGGGTGCCCAGATGGAGGAGCAGGCGTCACCAGGGAAAACACTGCCAGAATGTAGACTCCTAGGCAGGTCATTGTACAGAGAGAAGACTGAGGCTCAGAGAGGGTGAGTAACCTGCCCAAGGTAACACAGCCAAGCCATCCCAAGGTGGAACCCAGGCCTTGCAGACAGTTCTCAGGGATAAAGAACAAGGTGACCTTCAATGCTGGGCTGAGAAAGTCCCCTCTCCCTTCTCCCTTGAGAGCTGAGTTGGGACCTGTTGTCAGAGTTTCTAGCTCCCTAGTTGCAGGACCCTTTGGGACCCTCTCCCAGCCAAGCACGGAGGCAGGGTGCTGAGCCCAACATCAGGGTGAGAGGGTTAGGCACGTTTGGGTGGGGAGGTGTCTGTGCCAAGTGGCACAGGTTTGTCCACACATGGGTGTCGTTCATTCCCACTGGTCACACTGCCTCCATTTCCGCCCTCACAGAGCCTCCCCGCACCCCCCCTTTTGGCCTCTGGCTGCTCGTCTGGCTCCGGAGTTTCTTCTGACGCCATCAGTCCATCCTCGCTTTTATTTACAGTCAGAGGTGCCTGCTCAGTGCCAGGCCCTGGGCTAGGTCTGGGGACCCCTGCCTAGTGGGTGTAAGAGCCCAGTGGAGGCGAAGGCAGAGAAAATGATGGGAATGGCAGTTGAACCCTCTGACCGCGAGGCCACCGATGGAGATCTTGGCTGGCTCTGTGACCACAAGCCCCTCCACCTCTCGGAGCCTCAGTTCCCTGAACTAAAAGGGGAATCAGAATAGGCCGTACCCGAGAGGGCTGTGTGAGGATTAAATGAGGTAATACAGGTGAAGCACAAAGAACATCACTTTGCACGTCATGAGCACTGGCGCTCAAGTAGGAAAAATGTAAATGTCTCAGAGGAGAGGGACCTTTGTCCGGGCGATGGGCGAGGTGTGTGCCTGAGGCCTCTGAGAGGGAGGGCTTCCTGGAGGGGGAGTCCTCAGAGGGTCTGTGTGGTTTGAGGAACACCTTGAGGTGGAGAGAACAGCGTCAGCAGGTCCCGGAGGAGACCTGGGGCCCGGGTGGGAAGGGAG